AAGGCCAGACATAAAGAAAAAAAATGCCACACAGGAAACAAACACCTCAGCCACTGAGGCTGGCACCCCGGTGCCCCAGCCTCCTCCTAGAGTCCCCAGGCCTACACTTTTCACACCGCTGATGTTCACAGTAGGGGTAGGTCCTCCCCAGTTTTCTACTGCTGTGTAGTGATGAAATGGATGCATGGTACACTGTTGTTTGTGGACAGTAAAGTGCTTCTGGCTGTTTTCTGACTCCATTTCAGTTTACAGGTTGCTCCTTTGGTGCGGCGGCCATTCTCCAATATGAGAGTCTAAAGTCAAGACTTCAGACTGCAAAAGATGAAGAGAATTCAGAAAAAGGCATGCAGGTGAGCACTTTGATGATCCACATTATTGCACATCTCCTTTGGTTGCAGATCGCATTACTGGTTTGATTTACAAGCTGCTCACAGAGACTCTGTGAACCTTTCACATGTTCCCAGGGCACCCAGGACATGGCATACTGGCACAACTGGTGGAACCAGCTGTCCAGCTTCCAGCGACAGCTCATTCTCCTGGTGTCCATGGTGGATGACTTCTGGAACAGCCTCACAGAGGGACAGAAGACTGTGACTGGTATTATTTTACACAGTCAACATCTTTGCAGTGTGTGTGCGGGGGTGGGTTTTGATTATCGATTTTCCGATTTAAAATCGATTCTAGCTTGAATAGCGTGATATCGATTCATTAAAATCCTGAATCGATTTTTAAATATAAATGTATTTTGCCCAAAATGCCAGAATCTCAGGATAAATCTCACAAAATTTTGACAACCACCAAACAGCTAAAACAGTAAATGAGAGCAGGTACACGGATTCTGCACAAAGACGTAAACAGAGCACGGACCCGACGCTTTCTCGCCCGACGGGACGTACACGGACATGCCGTCGGGGCTGAGAGCCGACAGCTCACTCATTTTGATGTGTCTGGTCCGCGCTCTGTGTTGAAATCTTTTATTGCGCTAGATTCTGAAGCTGCAGGTTTTGTGTCTCTCCAACCAAAGTTGATTGAACCAGTCGCGAAAAGAAGATCCAAACTACGCTTCACATAAACATCATCATGAATTCCCTCTTACTTGCTGTTTTGCCTCCACCACAATAAAATCACACTTGCACAGCTCTCTCTCTGTGTACTTCAAGAACAGTTTCCCTTTCACTTGCTTACCTACCAGTCTACCATTGTAAACAGTGCTGTCAGCCGCTGTGTTGTTTTTTTCTTTTCTACTTAAATGACTTCCGACAAGAAAGCCGCATTTTTGCTGTTCAGTACTGAAGAAATTTAAACTTTTTAAATTATGCAAAATTGCAAAATGCTTAACTGTATCTCTAATAGAAACCTCTGTAACTTTGCTCTGCTTCACTTCAGCAGCATCAGGTAATGTTCATGTTGATTCATGGTTTTCTTCAGTTTTTGTTCTACTGCAGAATATTTTTAAGGTTATCTGCTATAAAAAGTCAGGCCAGGAAAATCGCCTTCATGTTTGTCTGTGTTTTATCCTCTGTTACTTTGACACAAAGGCATCTGCTGTGATGCTCACACCTTTGATAAAGTCTCACAAGTGTAAGGTTTCTTTTTATAGATATAAAATATGGATATGTACTGATTAGTGATCAGAATTATAATATTTCTGACTGTCTGAGGCAAAATTTCCCCGAATCATGGATCGAATCGATTCAGGACCTTGCGCTTGTGAATGGGAATCGAATTGATTCTAGAAATCAGTGACGATACCCAACCCTATGTGTCTGGGTTTTTTTTGTTTTTTATTTATCTCTTTGCATTTCTTCATAGTTGGCACCTTTTATTTATTAATTTTTTCTAGGTATTATCGCACTAAATGCCGCCGTCCTCTGCTGTTGGCGGATCCCTTCAATGCAGAGAAGTATGCTTAAGTACTTCACGTCCAACCCAGCTTCCAGTGAGTTCACCTGTGCTACACGATCATGTCCTCTTTGTGTTTGCAGTGTGTGCATTTTTTTTTCCCTCTCCTCTTCCTCTTCCAGAAACACGCTGCCTTCCCATGGCCCTGTCCTCCTTCAGTCACTACTCCATCATCCACATGGTGGCCAACATGTATGTCCTATGGATATTCTCCTCAGGGATCGTCTCTCTTTTGGGGAAAGAGCAATTTCTTGCAGTTTACCTGTCTGCTGGTGAGTCAAATAAAGCACACAACTGGAGTCTGATAACATTTATTAAATCTAAACACAATACTTGAATATTTTTAACATTAGTGTTTAATCCAGGGTGGATAGTTTAATGATCTCTTTGCTTCATGTTTGACTGAAACTCGCTGCTTCATCATTTATTAAATTTATAATTTTGGGACACTCAAACTTTTAGGGCCTTTCAGTACTATGCATGGCTGATTATTGAGAATATAGGTAACAGGAAGTAAGAAAGGCTACCAAATGTTTGATTTTCAGGTGTGGTTTCCACTATGGTCAGTTACACATGTAAGGCAGCCACCGGGCGTCTCTATCCATCATTAGGGGCGGTAAGATATTTGCTAAAATCCATTTTAAAGCTCAACTCAAATGATGGACAGCTGTGATAGTAACTGTTTTTGATCTACAGTCCGGCGCCGTCATGGCAGTGCTCGCTGCTATCTGCTCTAAGATGCCAGAGGCCAAGCTTGGCATAATCTTCCTTCCCATGGTCACTTTCACAGCAGGAACAGTAAGTGCTGCACACTTCCTATTTCCTACATACACTTTATGAAGTACACCTTACAAGTGCTCGATTGGAATCCATATTGCCTTCAGAAATGCCCCAGTTTTTCATGGCACTGATTCAACACGGTGACTACAGTCAGCTCATTGTCATGTTCAAGAAACTAGTTCGAGACGATCTGACCTTTGTGCCATGGTGTGTTATCCCGCTGGAAGCAGCCATCAGAAGACCTGCACACTGTAGTCATAAACATATGAACATGATCAGCAGCAATACACAGGCAGGCTGTTGTGTCTAAATGAGGTTGTTTTTCCAATCTTTGGTTGTCCCATGGGAATTGTAGCCTCAGTTCTTAGTTGACAGGAGTGGCACCCACTGTGGGGTTCTGTTGCTGTGGCCCATCTTCTTTAAGGTTGGACATGTGCATTCAGAGATGCTCTTCTGTCTACCTCAGATATAACGAGTGGTTGCTTGAGTTGCTTTTGTCTTCCTTCCCGCTTTTGCTGCAGGAAGAGATGCGAGTGTGGATGAACCAAATAAAAAGGTACATGTATGAGTGACTGTGGAAGTATGCATGCCAGCGCACTGAATGCAGCTTTGCCTTTGTTTATATTTAGGCTCTGAAAGCGCTAGTTGCCATTGATACAGCAGGACTTCTGTTGGGATGGCGGCTGTTTGACCATGCAGCTCACCTTGGCGGAGCCCTCTTTGGAGTGTGAGTCAGGTCTTATTTTTACCCTTTCCTCAAAGTCTGTCCATGTTAACAATATGAAATACAGTTTCAAGGTTTATGAAACTGTCTTAATCCCAAATCTGATTACTTACTTTTTCTGGAGGGTTTAACTGTTTTCTTAGACTTACATTACAGTTTTAATATCCTGCTCTCATAACATGGCCCAAGTGTGAAAATTGTGGTTATGTGACAGTTGCAGGTGTAGTCACAAATATAGCTTAAAGCCCGTGGAACATATCTAATATTATTAAAATGTTGTTTTGAAGGCTTTGTGCTTTTGAACTCGGTCATGAAAAAAGAATCCAATGATTCTGCACTGCTTTGATCAGTCTAAATCCTTTAATGTCTTAATGTGGCCTAATGGGAGCATCTTGTTCTGCTTTCTCCACATTTTACCGTGCCATGCATCTCTTCATACAGTTGGTATGTGGCATATGGTCATAAACTCATCTGGAGGAAGAGGGAGCCCCTTGTGAAGTTGTGGCATGACATTCGTTCACCAGGCAGCCGAGGTTCTAGGCCTGGACGTGGACCCGGGGGTGGTGGTGGTGGACCAACATCATAAGTCCCTAAAATTCTTTGTGAAAGAACTGGAACCCATCCAAAAGAATATGCAAGGACACTTTTATCCAATGACATGGAGTGGACTGTTATTAATAAATAAATCTAGTTTTCACATCCAAAGTTAGTAAAGAGCATTTGCTGATTTAATGCCTTGCAAACTTGAAATTTAAAAGCAGGTGAAACTTCATGTCTAGCGTTGCAGTCGAGATGTTTACTTTGTAGACTTTAAGCACCTGTTATGCTACCGGTAATCTGTAACTCTGCTACCTCATTTAGCCATTTTCCACCGATGCTTTGCCAAATCTCAAACTGGTTCTACACATATACACCAACAAAGAATGGTGGCACCACAAAAATGAGTCTCCCAACACTTGGATTGAGTGATTTCAGAAGCAATGGGAATATTACTGCAAGTAATTTATCACTAATTTCCAAATCTAGCATTCAGATTAGGCCCTGTGTGACACTAATGTCTGATATAGTATGCAAAAATTAAGTTCTGACACTTTCCAAAATATGGCCATCGACCAGCACCAGACTAGGCATATTACTGGTGGAAAACAGGTGTTAGTAACCCAAAGCTAAAAACCTTTTTATCCATGTTTTTGTGTCCATGTTGTTCTGGAAAACTGCATTAGCCATCAGACCAAAAATTCCACATTAGAAAACAAAGAATTTTATTGTCTGATCCTTTTCCTCTGTTAACACTCTCATTCAAACTACTAGCTTTACATTGAGAGAAAAATAGAACAAATATGCATATCCAATGATTTTAGATAAATGGGCACTCCCACGTATACCTACTAATGTAAATAATTCATTTGGTAACAAATCTCTTTATCAGTGCCCTCTATTACAGTAAAAAGTGGCCAAGTCACTTTTTTTTAAAAAAAAACCCAAAAACCTGCAGTTTAACTATTTTGGTTAGAAATACTTTCCTCACAGCAGGGCAATATGTTTAAAATTAAAGCTGTGACAAAACTATTCATGACAATATAAGTTTTATTGGAAGCGTTTAATCTATAGTTGGCACATATGAGAATTTGGAACAAAGATACCACGACTCATGGTGCCAAAACACACTCAGTTAATTCTTCAGATGCCGACATCTCCAGATTACTACCTGAACTCATACAGTGGGGGAAGTATTTCACCCCCTGCTGAATTTGATTGGGGGGGGTTTCTGGTTGATATTCTGTCTTTCTCCATTAAAATACCACTGCCATAGAAAATTAGAAACTGTTCATTTCTTCGTGAGTGAGCAAATTTACAAATTCAACAGGGAATAAATTATTTTCACCATTATAATAATGATTTCATGCCCTGAGAAAACATTTTATTTATCAAATCACATTCCTGTCCTGGACATAAAGAGTCACTGTTAAATGCTTTTCACAATTCCTTTTTATTCAGATACATTGGTGGAAAGTTTTTTTGGTTAAATACAACTACAGCATACCTACATCTTAAGACAGTCTAAATCTGTTACTAATAAAGCAGGTTAAGTTGTCAAAATAGATCAAAGACTGACACTTTTTTGGCTTCAAGGTAACTTTAAGGCAGTTCCTGGTAAACAATACAGATTAGCTTATCAAATATGGATGTCTCATCAGACAAGGGCATGTGCAGCAAATTCTTCTAACAATCCTCGCTGTCCAAAAATCAGGCGTCCATCACTGTCGGGCTGTGAATGAGAAAACTGCTCAGAATCCTAAAACTCAAAAGAGTAGGCTAAAAATCAAAGAGGTACAATGAGATTAAAGTTTTCATTTTTTAGTTTTTAGTCTCTCTCTCTCTCTCTCTCTCTCACTCACTCACACTCTCACACAGACTGTTAGATAATTCGAACTTATCCTCCACCCTGTCACATGATGTTAATCAAACAGACTTACCAGAACGCTATATCTCGTCTACTTTTTATCCAGAGCAATCAGTAATGCAGCACTTCCTCAGCCCCTGCTTTTGTGGTTTGCATAACTGGGGAAGCCAAACTGGGAGACCATCAGGTTGGAGAAGGAAAGAGGCATAAAGCCATAGATCTGTGTCAACCTGTTCAGGCAGTAGGACCTCTGGAGAAGGTGTTCGGGACGATGCCACATCCCCTGGTATCCACTGCTGGCCTCCTTTTCTAGGTTGCGGAGGTCCACGGGTTTGATAAAGACCCCAGAGGCTCTGTTCATTTTACCCAACTTTGATTGTTTTCTTAAATACAGAGCTACGGCAAAGTTCATGGCAATATCGTCACAGTTCTGCGTTTCATCCACTAAAGCATGCACTGCTTGAGGCTGGTCCTGAAAGAGCTGCAAATAGCGGCGGTGGAAGAAGGCAGCACCAATTAACACCATGGAGTATCTGCAGGGAATGCAGGGAGATGGAAGCTTAAAAAACAAAGTACACCTAGCCAGAGGCCTGTACTATGAAGCAGGATTAGTGGCGCAGCAATGCAAATTCAGGGTTAACTCTGCATTTTCAGCAATACGATGGTGATTCGCTGCTGTGGAAATTTATAATGCAGGTTGAAAGAAAAACAGCTGCTGTTTAGTTGTGTCTAAGAATCTATATTTATTACTCATCATGGAAAGAAGACTTTAGAGACTCATGAAAAACATTAGACCCTCTTACTATCTGCTCAGAGTGGCTCGGGGGATTTTACAGCAATGTTAACACCATTTTCCAGAAAGCTAAGTGGAGAGAATTTATCTAAATTTCAGGAGTGGTACCACACCTCCATACACATCCCTTCCAGTAATCCATCAATATAGGACCCTCCCGAGCACTACAAGCTGTTCATTCTCATCTTTGTGCTCCACCCTCCCTTCCCTTTTTTACAATTCATTCACTTCTCATTAGTACATGAGGATCTTCCCAGCCTGGGAGCCATCACCAATCCCCCCTGAGGCCTTCCCCAAACTGCAGCCTCAATTCATCCTCAAGCCATCTGCCATTATTTACTAGGAATGCTGTCAAACCTAAAATGAGAATGTGGTCCCCGCTAGTGAATTGGGCAGTAGGAAGTGACGTTTTATCTCTTGATCTCAAATATAACCTGTTCCACAACTGGTTAGGTCTGCAGCACAAATTCTCAAGGTAAACTACCCCCTAAGAAATGAACCCTCTTCATAAACCAGGGTTTATGCCAAAGTTACCTGAATAAGCCTTGAATTTTCTCATGTTCAATTTAAAGTCAACAAGTACAAACTCACCATCTACTAACCAATCGTTTCTCTGGGAAATGGTGCCACCATTCCTGGAACACATGTCGGACATGTCCACCGATAGCTAGCGTCTAAAGGAGCAACTTTATTTCTATTTCTAAAATGATTGTATTGTCTTCCACGCCTTTATAATGTGAATATACACTAGATATCAAATTTGCAAGCATGCTATGCCCATCTTTAATTTCTATTTGTATATATTTTCTTAACTTGCACTCAAGCCATTAAACACCACCAGCACAGTTTCAGCTGAAAAGATAAAGTTAAAATTGTTTTCTGCACATTTAAACATTGATATAACAGATTATCCTGAGTCTTAAGGATACTGAGAAGTCTTAACTCGCACAGATGGCATTTTTGCCAGATTTTCTGCCTGGCTTCAGCTTAGGCTTTATAAATATAATAGTGCTTTTCCATTCATAAAGCCTATTTAAATCGTATACTTGTAATCTCACGCTACTGTTTTGGCAACACGTGTTGCTCTGAGCCTGTACTGTACACAGCTTAACATTGCCTGGTCTGACACAGTTTTAACTTCCTTTCTAAAATCAGGCCGCTCAGATCTGCCCACGTCTGTGATTGGTCAGAAGTTGCCTCTTTCATGTGTTCATGCTCACATGAACACATGACAGACTGGTAAACCTAGAGTGGACCTATTAAGTTTATAACCACTTTCTTGTGACAGCTTAAAGCTGATTTAGACTTCTGCTGTGGATTTTTGATGTAACCCATATGAGTGGTTGAAGTTACTGCCAGCTGTCATGCTTGTCCTTGGCGCATCATTCGTTAATTACCTTGTGGTCATGTCCCAGTGTTTTATATGCTGTGCCAACAACAATACAAATAAAATTCTGGGACTTTTCTTTCCCACATGGTTCCCCACTATTTGTTGTGGCTGGTTTTTGTTCCAGAGGCAAACGTATGTCTGGAAAGTGGGCTTCCACGAAGTGATCTGTGGCTCACGAATAAACTGTGGCCCGGCGACTACGGATATACAGCTGCAAAAAAGGCCTGTCTGGACTCCTGCTTGGAAATGGGGGTCGAGTATTTTGGTATGCCGTCTGATTGATAAAGTTAAAAACAGTTAACAGCTAAACAGTTTTCTGGGATGTCACTGCAGAACAAATGTCTTGAATAAACCTGTGATGGCTCGTGATGTAGTTGAATTAATCCATGTTCACCACACCGAATGCAGTTTGCTGTCTTTTGTTACATCATGACCTCTAACCCCTGTTGTTTTTAAAGATCTGTACCTGATGCACTGGCCAGAGTCAAAGACACCTGGTGGTTCCAACAGGGAGATGAGAGCTGAGACCTGGAGAGCTTTGGAAGAACTTTATAAGGAAGGTAAATGCTAAATGCATGGTATTAACTTAGAGAGATCTTTGCACATTACCTCACATCAATTCCAAAAGCTTTGACAATCTCCCTGCACGAATTTTCTGACATCTGTGAATCCTTATAGAAATGCTATGATCATTATTCTTTATACTAAGATATGATTGTTATTCTCTCACTGATATGTTTAAAATTAAACACAGAAGTATACTGATGTGCACTGATGTAAAAATAAGTGAAGCCACATAAGCAACAAACATTCTGGGTATGTCGAGCATGCTTCGTAGTACAGGCCCAAATAACATGCAAGGTATGTGGACAAAAAAACCAAAAACCAAAAATAAACAACCTACACGTCACCTCCTGCTGTTTCTGGATCCTGCAGCTCAAAGCTGCCATAGCTGTACACTCCTGCTGCTGTTGAGACATGTTTCCTCGGTACAAATCCAACAATCTGGTCTGGAAATTGCTGTGGAACCCAACAGTAAAACAACTCAGGGTTTGCCGGCTAAAATCTGCAGTTAAATTTTTCAAGTTTATGATACTCATTACCTTCCAGACAGAAAAAGCAAAACTGATGTCAGGTACACTGATGAGAGTGTCATCATCCAGCATCAGAACAGCTACAGGAGCAGAACAAAAATACTACTGTTCACTGACTAAAATGTATTTAAATATAACAAATAATACATACGGTGCAAGCTGACAGATGTACTGACCATCAGTATCAATTTCAGGGAATGGTTGTAGTCTGTTGCGCATTCGGTTGCTGGTCTGCTCCTTGAAGACTACCTGGACCGGATGAGGCCCCAAGGAGCTCCACAGCTTTGCAGGTGTCTGCTCTCCAATGTTGTTCCATACTATGATAATTCTCTGAAGATGAGGTACTCCCTGGTAATGGTTTAGGAGTTTGAGCAAAACGTCTGTGCGGTTGTAAGTCTGGATGATGATGGTAAACTTCTTCTCCTCCGAGCTGTCAGCGTGGTGAACCTGTGCGGGATTCTGCTTTTGCGGGGTTGCCCTTCGTAGCACCTCCAAGACAGCAACACCTCTTTGGTCCTCAGCAGGTGGCAGCAGAGCTGTCAAGACTACACCAACCAGGAGGATCAGCAGAATTGCCCAAAACAAATAGGTTCGTCGGAGCCCAAAGCAACAACGGGGCAGCCTGCACACAGATTTGCAGTATTTATTAATATTTCCATCTCAGCTCCAGTTTAAAAGAGAAAAAAATCAATATATGCAGTTTCTATGACTGATTTGTTGTATTCTAAGCAGAAATTAGTTAATCTATGGCCTGTGATAAATGTTAGGATTGTATGGTATCCATAACTAAACATGCAAATCAATTAAGCCATCTTGGGTATCCGAAATGACAGCTTAGCTTGTGCAAGTAGTTGTAGTTGCACTGATTTTAGCTAACTTTAACGTGATTTTAGCCCAGCGTTTGTTTTGAACACAACGGTTTAGTCGGCTCTCTCGTAACATATCTAGCCTGTTACATTTTAACATATTCTATTTTTCTTTCTAGAAAGGAGAACTGACCTCATTTTTGTTGGCACTACAAACATTCAACCCCTTTCTTTCAAACGGTCGCCATGTTGGCTGACTTTGTCCAAAGAGTGTACAAGTTAAGAGCGGTTCCAATTTAACACCCGCCGTAACTTATGGTACTCAACAGCCACGCAGCTATTTTATTATAGAGAAAATTTCTTGTTAAATGAATATTTTGTTCTTACTCATTATAAATACATTTTCTACGTTACAACCTCGTAAATATATTTTCACTCGCGTATTTCGGCTTTCTGATGAACTGTCGCCATGTTTGTTCAGCGGCTTGATTTTTAATTCAGGGGCATATCTTCGCCTCTACAAATATGTTAATAATAGTTGGTCGAAAAAGAAAAGGAGAATCAACTAAATGAAATTTACAAAACCAGTCTAACTAGTGGTTACAACAAAGGTAAGTTAATCTAATGCACTGTTAATGAAAAAGAGTGTATTAATAGTATTCTTTTTGGGGAATAACATATGTTAACGAGGAATGACTTTCCTCGTTAAAGCAAGAAAAGTTAACAACAAAACAAAAACGTTTTTCCAGATTGCTCAGCTCTGGTGAAGTGAACATGCCGTTGGCGTCGGTCCTGAACTGTCCTACAGTACCACTTTCCAATGGTCTGCAGATCCCCGTGCTTGGTTTGGGTGTGTTTTACTCTGGCACTCACTGTTTTTAAACCAGCTAGCACAAACCTGAATGAAGCATTATGCAATCCTAGGACACAGTGATTGTTAACTGAATCGGTTGGTTTAAAAACTTTTTAAGTAATGCAATAGGGAAGTAAATCCACAAGTAAAACTGACACCTATCAGGTTTTAATTCAAGAAAAAAATATGTAGTGTTACTGTTCGTCAGTTTATCCACAGGCAAACGTTTGGTCTAATTCCTCCAATACAGTTGATACTACTAATAAATAGTTGCGTACACAAACGGGTTTTTCAGTATCCTTTAATCCAGGATATGTGAATATTTTGTATGTATTTATACCTTTTATGAATACACTGTATATTTATGTCAGCGCTAATACGCGGTCAAGTTTGAATTAAACTACATAACACTATCATTAAAATGTCTTCTAGTGTATTTTACTTTATATAGCAACCATTTGCTCATAGTACACTTCACTCTTGTATAGTATTTTGTCTTTTTAATTTGTACACTATTTTATCTTATTTATTTTTCTGTTTTCATGTTTCTAATATGTCTCTAATTCACCTTTTCTTTCTGACCTTTGTGCTGCTGTAACACGTGAATTTCCCCACTGTGGGAAATATAAAGTCTATATTATAATAATTACCATTGTTTTTTTTTTTTTAAATGTATAAATGTTGTGTGTTTTTCTCTTTGCCAGGCACATCACATAATGGTGGTTACTCCCACGATGCAGTTATGTATGC